TACAAAATAGTTATCTGTCTTCTGTTGATCTTTGTTGCTGGGGAAACTGAAAGAAGGGTAATATACAGTCTATGATCTCAGTGTTTTAGGTCAAGACTCCCACCTCCTCCCATCTGTTCATTCTGTAAATTATATTTCCATCACATGGAGGTCACGGTACAGATTCTTTTGTTATCAAGTTACTTGACTTGCTCAGGGGACACAATTGCACTGAGATGCAGTCAGCTGAGCAAGAAAGCAGTTTCAGGTGCTTGAATATCGGTGTATTCAAGCGGTAAATTATCTTAAGAAAGCTTGTCCAGACTAAAGAAGTTAAAAATGAACTTGCAGTTTACACATAGGTATGTGAATGCATGTGATCTGTGGCACTGCGACTGACAAACAAATCAGCTTTATAGCAGCAAATTTGCTAACTGTGTTATGTAATGTGTTATATTGATCACTCAAAAGGAAGGTTTAAAGGCAACCGAAATTTGCTCCCATTTCTGATCAAGAATACATTATTGTTATGGAAATGCTTTTTTTTCATATCCATATTTCAATGTGAGACAGCATTTTTGAAAAGAATATTTCTGGGCTTTTTGACTTTAATAGAAAGGAGCAGCTAAACAAAGATAGGAAAGGAGGGAAGAGAGAGGGGATGCCATGTAGCAAAGGGCCCCCGGGCTGGAGGTGAGCTACTGGGGAAACCCCACAAAAAATTTTGAGGTGTAAAAAATGCCTGCTTAGTGTTTATGGAAGGCCGAAATCAAGAGGAAAATATGTGTTTGTGAATTGAGCTGACTTATACTGTGCACTTGTCCAGGACATTTCCATGACAAAGCTCAGCAGGGGATCGCTGAGATGGGAATGCAGTGAAATGAAAAGAAAATGCAACTCATAGTTGTGTCAAGATCTTTTCAATCCAACCCCAGACTAAAACAAACTGATATATAACAAAAAAAGTCTAAAGGTGTACACAGTTGAACCATATGTCCTTTGTAACTTTCAGACACAGTGAGGAAAAAACTGTGCTCATATTAGGGCTTGGATATGCCAGTCTCAATTTGAATTCAGCTCCACACGGGTAATCAGTTATGGCAGTGCATGTACAGTGAACACAGTCAACGATTTCCTACAATAACCTGTTTTCTATTCAGCACGTCATTTGTCATTTCCAGCTGATCGGCTTTGTGAGGGGTCTCTATACCTACAACACTGGTTGCCTGAGACCTAAGTTTATGATTTATTGTTTGTCATATTCTCTGTTGCTTCATTTAAGGTTTGAAATTTCAAAAGAACACACCTCCTAGCCAGTACCGTACATCATAATTACTATGCAAAGTCATACTCCCAAGAGGAAGGAACCTGTTGGATGTGGAGAACCCCTTGATTTTTCCTCCAGCACCATCGTCAGAACAAGCTTTGACTCCTTTTATAAAACAATTCTATCATCCACAAGGTATAATATTAACTGTAACAGTAACAGCTGACAGGGCGGTGCACCTTTGCTGCAGGAGGAAGCCAGTATTAGAGTAATTAGATATTGTCCACTTCTAACAGCTTATCCAGTGATGCTAAGTGGCTAAAAACTGCATTTGCTTAATGTGATTTTTCTTTTTTTTCTTTGTCATCATGAAGTGAAACAGCCCTCTGTAAATTATTCAGTGCCATTTGGTTTAATGTGAAATCTGGGTAGACTCCATCCTAGCACACTGCCTCCTTTGAGCTTATTTTTCAGAAACAACAGAAGCTCACTGCAGCAGTGATGTTTGATTTTAGCTTTGATGGTGCAACAGTGTGGTGAAATTTCAAATAAATACACTCAGACCCTGAAATGAAATGTAAATGTTGCCTGACTGTATCACTGCACATATGGGTTTATTTTTTTTCTTACAGTCACAAGACCCCAGGAAAGTTCGAGTCCTGGGGCTTCAGCCCCTTAAGATCTTTGAATAGTACAGCAGGAGCTCAGATCCCTCTCATTAAGGAAAACCTTTATGGATTTCTCAATCTTTTGAAAATCATTGCCCGTCAGCTGATTCCTATAGCTGAAAATTCCCACATAATTCTGATGAACAGCAGACGGCTTAATTATGCAATCCTCCAGAGAACCCTGGCAGGATTTATCAAAGCAACGACACATATAATTTTATTTCTATAGCCAATAAAGAAATATGAATGAAACAAGCATGTAAATAAGGAAATTCATAGTCACTAAATAAATACAAATGCATTCTTTTAATCATAGTGCTCTCTGCAGTCTTAGTACTGTACACAGTCTCCAGTGTATTGTTAAATTCTGTTGGAATATCACACATTTCTCCTCAGAGATAAAGATACCTCAATTTTCGGAACTAGTTGGATTCCCTCGTCAAAAAAAAAGAAATTAAAGTTATTGTTTTTTTCTTTTTTAGAGAAAAGAAGCTTTGATGCACATACAGCCCCATCTGGGATGAGCTCTTGCATCTACGAATAAAGCAGTTCTATTCCTGTTTGTTAAACTAGGCTGTAAAAAACACGAATTACTTCTGATAGGTGAATCCCAGCATTTTAGAGGCCTTTTAACGAGAAAAATTATATACATCTCAAAGATGACAAATGAAAACCTGGGAGTGAAGATCTTACTGCAGCCTGCAGTAGACTAAAGCTGACATTGGATGAGCATGGAGTCTCTCTGTCGTGTTTAAACGCAGATGCTTATGGAAGTCAAAATAAATCCAATTTAAACACCCTGTTTTGGAGGATACCAGCATCCTGAAGCTAACAAGGTTGTATATGATCTCTTGAATTTCAAAAACAAAATTTAAGAAAAGCTACAGCATACAACTGTTTACTTGTCAAAATCCATTTCCTCAACGCGTAAACTAATTATAAGCAACCTAAAGCAGTGCAACTACCGTAATGTAATGAAGTAAAATAAATACACACAGAGCAATGCAAATCACACTGTGATGTACCAGTCGACAGCACTGATGCGTTGTGAAGGTTGTGTGTGATGATCCAGTCCTAATCATTTGTGATATTTCCTGTAGAATTTTTCTCACACACAATTTGATATCAGAAATACAACTGATTGCTACCTTCTATAGTTGAGCAAAAAAGCCTTACAAGCTTACATGTTGGTTTTTAACTCATATTACCATCTCATAGTCTATTCTGACACTGTTTTTCTGAGTTAATGCTAAATGTGTACCTCCCTAAAAAGGACAAGCATGGCTGTTTAAAAGAGATTGTCTTTGAACAGTCACTTTTAAGAGTTAAAAGATAGTCCCATTAGCCGCAGTGTTTCAGTGCTCTATTCTGCTCTCCAAGACACTGATGAAGGTCAAGCTTAAATGGCTCGAGCTCTCTGTTTGAGCCACAGACTCCCAGCTTAGCCACAGCTCTGGGAACTCGCTCAGACAAAAGATTTACCCCACAATGCTGCTGGCCTAGATAGACCCACCAAACACACAATAGGGTGGCTGTGCATAATTTAGAGCACATCTTTCCTACATTGACAAGTCCAAAATTAAAAGGGAGCTTGTCAGCCAAATTAAGTATTCAAATGTATTATGTCCATGGTAAGCACGCCGAAGTTAAATCAATACTTGCCAACCTGAACATAATACTCAGACTTGTGATATAAAGCCTGGAGCTCCTGCAGAGACAGTGAATGTGATGGTGGCCCAGAGCAATGTTAGCTCATTTTGAGGCAAAATATACTGTAAAACAACTCCTTTTATTGTACAACTGACTTTCTATTCAAAGCATTGTGATTCCGATTGTTACAGTCCCTGAGTCGAACCCAGACATTAGGAGGATATATTCAGAGGTTAGGCATGTTAACTTTGAGATTTCCTTTCTTGTTTCTAAAGTAGTTTTATTTCCAGTTAAGCAACAACTCATAAGCCATCTTAGCACTGCAAGGATGTCAAATCCTCACACTTGGTGTCCCGGTTACATCCCTTTTGAACATGCGCTCTTTCAAGTGAAATTAATCAATCTCTTTATCACTTGGGCAGTGTCATTACCCAACCACAGAGTGAGAAATGAAAGTGCTAATCGCACAGCAAGTGGGGCTTTTGTGTGGGAAGGCCAAGTTTTCCTCCTCAAGCTGCTTTGGAAATGCATTTTCAATTGAATTTGCAAAGCGAGTGAGGGATGAATCTTGAGATTACCTCAAAGTACCCTTATAAAGGGCTGAGGTATGACATGAGCTTTCAATACAGTTTTCAAAGATGATTCACTCACAAATATGATAAATGTTTGTATATAAAATATTGCATGGATGCATATAAAGGTGTTTGTCACATAAAAAACGCTACCATACATTTAGTGCAGCATGCTGCTCATTGAAACTATGTCAACCAGACATCACTTGGGCCCTAAATCTGAACAGGACATACCAGGACATGATTATTTTCTGTGTACCAATGTCTCATTAACCGTGTCACGTTACTACAGCATGCACATCATTATGGTAACAATCCAAGCTCTGCTTGTCACCACGGGGCTAGGAATGGGTAGTCTGTCAGAAATAAGGTATAATTTTGCTAACTGCTCAGGCAGAAGGGCCCCCTGGCTTGATGATGTCCAATAGCAACTCGAGGTTTATGTTCCCAACAATGTGTGTCAGAAAGAGGAGGATTACTTTCCCCACAGAACTGGTCACATTGAAAATTATTATAGTTGTACAGTATTTTTCTCCTTTAATGAGAATTAATAATGACTGTCTCACTCTTGTGTGTGTATATAGTCTGTATAGTGGGGTGTGGGCTCACACATGCATATCCAGTATTAACAATAATAGATTCAAGGAGGTCTGTCTTGTTAAATCCTCACACTTGAATGGTAAGATATATGACACACTGCTACATATAGCTATATATAGCTCAATGTGTGGAATTATAATTGACCATATCCAGTGATTGTGCTCAAGAGATGAAAGAGATTTGACCTGGAGGATTCATTTTGAATAGTCAAGAAGGGGCATTGATTCACACATTTATTGTAAAGAATAATAATAAACAGTTTACCTGCTTTCCATGAGAAATGATGGTCCTTAGGAAACACAATGTCTGACTGGACTGATAAGGAAAATAGAGACAAGAGGAGGAAGAGGCTGAGGTAGTTCCCAGCTCGCCGTGTCCAGGCAATGACCCCAAAGTCATCTTTTAGAGTCATAGTCCAGCCCATTGCTTCCTCTCTTACTCCTGTGGGAAGAACATGGAATTCATCAGTAATTCACTCATAAAAATGGCTTGAGATGTGGGCCAAAGGAACCAGAGCAAAAGATTGTGTGTTGCTCTTTAAAAATGGGGAATTTGGAGAAGGTCTCAGACACTCTGAGGCAGCTGTGTAGAAAATGTCCCACTGAAACCTCCAGCCCAGAAACATGACATTCAGTGTCACCTTCCAGAGTGCAAAACGCTCTCTCACACATGAATCATAGTGTTTCATTTTGATAAATCCAGCACACAAGTGTGATACCATGCCCGCTTCTCCTCCCACATGGACCAAAAATAATTAGTCAGAGAGGCTTGAGCATCTCTGCATCCCAAGGTAGAAGTGGAAACATGTATTGAAGGAAGGGGAGACTTTAAGCTTGGAGTAATACAGGGTATTAGTACCTTTTTATTGCAGCTCATTTATTCCTATCTCCTGCCACTATGATTCATGTCCTAGGAGTGTTAGGGATTAGTCCTGGATTCACTAGGCCTCTAATTGTGTTGCACCAACAGCAAAATTAATGAATATGGAATTGAATCTGTAACACCTGATGCTTTGAGAGACTGATGTTATGGTGTTCATGACTGCGGTGATTCATTTTCCAAAAACAAATCTTACTGCACTGTAGCACTTTGGTACTGTGAGATTTGTTATTATTGGCTTATCATCCCACAGCGCACTCCCTGCAGTTATTCTGTCGTTCTGCAGTCAAGGAACGCAACGTTAAATCTAAAACACTTTTTGATTCACGGTAAAACTTGTATAATTGTAACACATAATTGGGCATCAGTTAAATTGCCTGAGTTGTGCAACATCAAGAGCTGTTGCAGAAACAACTGAAAACAAGTTTATGCAAACTGAGAGATACAAGATATTCACAAGTTGGTATTAGTGATACGCACGTGTCAAGTGGTGCCATTATTGTAAGTTTATTTTAAGATTTTTTTTGGAGACTTAACTGTCATAAAATGGAGGCTTTGGTTTCACAGGAAAGTCCTACTTTTACCTACTGAGATTTAATCGTAAAGTGCCTCATGACAATAATTACAACAAACAAATGGACAAACAAACATTTCTTTCTATTAAAGTTGCAGATCACCACAATACAGTGCATTTTGTCTTTATAAATAAGTATCATAGAGAGCATCTGACGGTAGATTAACTACTGAGAGGCAGCAGGCATTTGAGATTTAGGATTATTTACACATGGTGCATCTGTGAAAACGGTGGGTGCTAGATTATTTTTGCTTGACTTCATTCAGGGAAATTAGATTTTGACTTTGCTGCTTTAGCTGTGTTTTGGTGGGGGTAAAATTTGTTTAATGAGAAAGAATTGCAGGGTGGAGATGGCTTGGTGCCCAGAAGTGAGCTGCCAGATGCCCAGTTTTTGATGGACTGTCCAATTTTCCTCTAGGTTTGATGTGTTTTTCCATAGTCGAAAAAAGTGTGTTTGTCTCTTTGTGTCAGAGGCTTATGAACTCAGTGAAAACACAAATTCTGGATTTGGCATTTCAATACACAGCTTGTCCTCAATATACAGTACATGCAAAGGTGTGGCGTATCATGTGAAATCTGTCAATCCAAACAAAAGTGATAGAGCTGATTGTTCTCTCTACTTTAAATAACACAACTTTTTCTTATTAAAGCTGCCTTTGTCTCACATGTTTTGATGACCAGAGAATTTATTCTATTTGGATGAATGAGCAGAGTAGTCTGGCACTTACACAGCCATATGCCAATTAGACACCTCTGGTTGCTGATTACTAGCCAACCTCTCGGGCTGCACTGCTCTGGAAGCTATACCTGACTGCACCCAGATTACATCCTCCCTCTAGCCAGTCTAATTTGACTATTCATGGGACAAGCAGCGCTCTCCATAGGCTGACAGAACATGTCACAACTGATTGGAAAACATGGTCTTGAACAAATGAAAAGCAATGAAAACAAGCATGACCCCGAGGCATCCCAGTATTGTTTTTCGAAGACAGGCATTTGAGATTACCATAGTGTTAGATATGGTTTGCAAAATAAGAAGACTGGTTGCTCACTTTGAAGAGTTAGTGGCAATTGTTTTCATACAGCCCAGACTTGGACTGATCCAGTCTGTGCCTGTCAGAAGAGGAGGAATACAGGCTATCCTGAAAATCTTAAAAAAGAAAAGCTCTTAAGCTGCTAAATATCTGGGTCAAAGGAATCATGCCAGGCACTCAGTGGCCACTGAAAACCTGGCAAACAGCAGCATGGCTCAGAAGCTACTGTGCATCCTATTAGATACTCCATGATCTGATGGAATGCAATCTGCTTCTCTGTCTCCTGTGGGCCTTGTTCGGGGCTCCCTCACTGGATTCAGAGAGTAAGGACACTGCAGCTACCATAAGGGAACAGATGAGCAACACTCCACAGCCTTCTCTTTCACAGGTGGTCACAATAATTAATGTTTGATTAGATCTTTCCAAATGAGTGGCAAAAGCTAATTTGGTATGCCAAGGCTCTGAACAATCACCATGCGATCTTCCATCCTCTCTTTAAATAAGCCAAACAGCCAGTTCTGCCTGGAATGGAAACAAAGGCATTTGATCCCAGAACGTTTACCAGAGATGCCACCCTCTTGGATTTCCACACAATTATGTAGCCAACCAGTTCATTCTCTCCTCACATTCTCAGCTTAAATTCCTGCCCATGTCCCTGTGCTCTTCTTTGTGTACTGCATCCAGTATATTCAGTTTAACACAGCTGCAAGTATTTTCTCCTTGTTGTGGTGCATGTAATTGTTTTTAATTGGGTTTGGCAATATAAAAACAGAAATCCATCCTCACCCAAAACACACAGATTTTTGCAGATGTTTTCATTGGCAGGAATGACCCTGACAGCATTGAAAAAATCTGAAAAGCAGTGCACATCACAGTTTTTTGTATTCCTTTGATCACAGGCTTGTGGGTGCAGCTGCATTCATCTGTCACAGTATGGACTGATATTTGAGAATATTATCCATCTCCATTTTATTCCTGAATTCTTTTGATACAGCATTATTCTATTCAGGACTGTAACAAAGACGACTTCCCAATTTTGTTGGCTGATCAGATGATGACATCTCTGAAACATACTATGTATTTGCCATTTCCAGAAAGGTTTATCTTCTTCTGACTTTTCATCATGACTGTACAACAAATGGGCTATGCTGATTGAAAAGGAAGAAGCAAGTGTGCCCTACCTGTAGTAAGGTGAATTGTTAAGGTGAGGAGGTCGGGGTGGTGGATAGGTGTGTAGCAAATTTTCCTTTCATGCAACAGACTAGAGTTCTAGTGCCCTCATAGTCCTGCAATTAACATTTGCCTATTTATAGACTGTAACCACAATATATCCCTGACCTTAACAAGGTATTTTAGCTGCCTAACCCTAATCAAATTTACCTTAATTTATTTCTCATGACCACAATCTTTCTCTAATGTTAACCATATCATAGTTGCAACACACACAAAATTTCAAAAACTGACGTAAAGGCAAAGAGAGGCTGTCTTCCAGGGTTTTGCAGATTTGTCCCATATCGACCTGAAGATAGGTTTGGGACCATTGCTAATGATGGTGCCTCATTTTGATCTAATCTTAGCCTTTTGACTGAATGTATATATGTTTTTGTAATTTTTGATTCATTTGATATTTGTTAGTTTTAGTCAACAAAAACTAAAGTCATATTTTGTAGTTTTCATCTGTGAAATAATAAGGATACTGTGAGTCCACAACTGCATGCAAGTCATTGAATATTTGCATTAAAACAGTAGGATATTTAGTTAATCAGTCCATTTGTTTGTATTTCACAATAACGTTCACAGTACAGTAACATCTAACATTTCTGCGGTTTGATGAAATGTCACGTTTTATTTCATTTTAGTCTTATTTACATCATGAAAAAAGTTTTTAAACCAATTGACAATTAATATTCATAAAATGTAGCTGTAACCTACAATAAAAACCAAATTACTAAGTTTTCTCATAATCAACTCACAATCTGCAAGCACACGCAAGTACACTGTAAGATGAACCGTACCTGAGCAAGATGACTTCCAGTCATCCCTTTAGGTGATCTGGTTGGTGCAGTGGCAGATGCTTTTTACTAGTTCTTCCACAGAGGACAGGAGCAGGGCAAAGGAGGCCTCCAAAGACGTTAAGTCTGACAGGGACGGTAAATCAGCTGCACCAGCCCAGCCGCCTGAAGCATCATGCAGTGGCTTAATCCTGTGTGAATCAATGTGTAGAAGGCTGGGGCTGTGTCACACCTCCAGCAACACTGAGTGGTATTAACTCCCTGGTGCTGGCTCTGTCAAGTACCCACCCACTGATGTTCCTACTGGGGTTGGCACAAGAGTCAGCCTGGGCTATAGGGTCTGAGGGAGAGGCAGAGAAAGAGAGAAGAAAAAAAAGAGAGACTGATAAAAACAGCTGATACCACAGCAGAGTAAACTCTGACAGTTCACGCAATGACATTCTCAAGATTATTTCTTTCACATAATGCTTAGTTGATATCTATCTTGCATTGCAGAGGTGTGCAAAAGCTACAAACAGCAAAAAAGCAATGAATGACAGTGTGTAGATGCAGGGAGGATTCATAAAGATGCATGACTTGAAGGCAGTGTCCTTTCCCTTTATAGTGGTCCATTATTCATTCTACTATTAATCTTAGCGGAAAGTTCTCAGAGAAAGAACTGTACATATGAAAAAGGATTATTATATTTCCCACATTTAGACTTGCTGCAGTTACGCGGGGGGGTGGCACCTATGCATGGTTTTAGCACAGGGTTGGTTGTTGTTTGTGAATTTTACAAGAAACTGCAAGGCTTACAGTGAAGATTTGTCATTGCCTGTGTCACATTCTGACAGCAATATCAAAGAGAAGAGTGCAGTCCAAGAGTTGCAGCTAGGCTTTTTGCTTTCCTATGACATTCAGTGATTACATGTCAACCCTCCAGCCAAGCCTGTTCTGAGAGCTCATCCACAGGAAACTCTGATTCTATTAACACTTCCTGCCCTTGTCTCCTATCCACCCCCAAACCCTTCCTCAATGGCCCCACCTCTAAGCTCAGCTCCCTTATTGACCTTCCTGGCCACAGTCTTGAAAACCCTAGATCCCAGTAACCCAGACCTTATTTCCCAAGGCTTTTAAGTGCCTTGCCATTCCACTGCGGCTAAAATGAGCCTGTCTCTGTAGCTTCACTTCTCCTCCTCTTGCTGGCTACTAACTAAATAAAAGCCAACAAATAGGGTGGAAGAAAGGTGTTCCTGGTGGAGGGAGCCAAATCAATTGCGAACATGCAGTTTCAGGTAGGGACAAACAATTCATTTAATCTTTATTCAATCTCAACATAAGACTTCTATTACAGTCAATGACTTGTGCTACCTCTTACTGTTTTCTCACCTCTTGGAGATTTCTGGATCTAGTGGATTGTAATTGTTCTTGTGTACTTGAAAAACATAGACAATAAATCAGAATAAATTGCTTGAACCAAGGCTATCTATTTTTTTGTAGGGATGTGGATAAGGTACCACAAACACAAATATGGCAAGACGGAAATATCCTACCAACAAGTAGATGCCAGGAAATTTGGTTCAGACATTCAAGTTCACCTGGAACTCCCAAGCCGCAAGCGAGTCTGTTTATGTCTGCTGTTATTTTTCACATGGAATCAAACATTAGCATCCTGACATGCATTATTAATTAGCTATGATAGTTGATATTAGCCCTCCGCCAGCCTAGCATATCATTAGTTAAAAGTTATCTTTAACCCAGCCCAGTTCTGTGCAAAAAACCAACAACAGAGAGAAACAGACTCAACATATGTGCTGTGGGAGTTTCGGGTGAACTTGTGGAAACCATTGCTGTAAGTGTGTGTGTGTGAGGCTTCGGACCTAGCGTCTAGTGGAGGAGTGACATTTTTGCATTAGTATGCAAACATGTAAATCACACTCTACTTGCCCCTCCCCTCAAACCCTTCCTCTCCACACTCCTGACAGCCTCGTGCAAACATGTCTTCCGCAGCTTTCTCTGCTCCACTCCATAAAGTTCAGCCCAAAGACAAAAGTGTCCACCAGCCTCCGATGACCTCAACCTCAACCTGCCTCATGCTTCGCACCTTCCTTCAGGAGCTTGTTACATCACCTGGCTTGGCACTATCCTCCAAGTCCTACAGCCAAAAGTCCACTTGACACGACTACAGAGCTTTTTCTCGACATCACTTGCAATGGTTTACTTTAATAGCCATTGCAGAGAGTGCATTTAGCCGTGTTCTCTGTCTCTGCGGTGTGTCTACCCTGCCAGTGTTTCACCATCTCACTGCACATGTGTTGTAGTTGCAAGACATTTTTTCTTCTTTTTAAACCTCAACAAGTTTAAAAGTTGGAGACATCTGCAAGTTGCTACAAAAAAAACTGACAAAATCTTGACATTGCCCAGCCAAGATTTTTATGTTGAATAGATGTTAATATGACAACCTGTACTATTACTAACAAAAACCTGTATAAACACTGCATCAGAGTAAAAGTTGAAATTTCTTCCTGCCACCTGCATCATTTTGGGAGATCAAGACTTACATATCTTGCTGATATCAGTGTAGGACAGTTATGTATTGTAACATAATATTGTGGAAATGTTCTGCTTATGTGGGTGGATGTTGAACTTCACCATCCACTGCACACCATCTGTCAAATTATTTCTAGTTGCCTTCTCTTACAATTCATTGTTTATTTAAAAAATATTATCAGTAAATGAATTCCCATTCATATCTATGAATGAAAAGTCATCGATGATATCAATGTGTCTCGAAATAAACATGAATATGAATAGTTAGTATTCATGGACTCATACATTTCCATACATCATAAAACACTTTCCATCCCTCTACCTCACAAACGTCAAACTGCCAATAATCACATCACTAAAGCGGGCCATGCTTCCAGGAATTCACAATCATTTTCCCAGACTGTTAAGATGTTGTATGTGGCTTTATCTGAAAGAGAGAGGTATCTCTGCTCTGCCAGCACCTCAAACAGTCTGGCAGCCCAAGCAGCTGCTCCTGAAGCCAGGACTGTGAACTCAATCAGTTGCATGTTTATCGTTGTGGCACCAAACATATTATGGCTCTTTCTGCCTGCCTCCATGCGCTGTAGGTGCAGTGGTATGGCTAGTTAAGCAAGCTGACAGGGTCACAGCATTGATAACGGCAGGAGAGAATTTTAACTCAGCCGTGCCCACCCAGCCTCACCACACAAAGATCACTTAAATGATACCATCCATCGACTCCTGAGTATCTTTTTTCTGCCAAAATTGGAGAATTTGATTTAGGTTTTAAATCTTTTTTTTAATATCTATGTTGTTGTGTTTTCTTTTTTTCTCTGTTTTTGAAAGCTTATAAAATAATAGCTTTGGGTTGGATTGGAAATTGAATCCCTGAATTAGCCTGGAAGCACATTCTTCTTTAGAAGATTGCTGAATTACAGTGATTAATTACAAAGCAAATGTGATCAGATGGTAAATTTGAAAAAGGCAAAAATGTGGCACCACGATGTTTATGATGAGCTGCAGTGAATCTCTTAATCAAATTAGTTATGTCAAATATTATTACAGTGAGGAAATCTTTACTTCAGTACACTTTAGTGTATTTTTAATTTGAGTCACAATCTGCGCATTCCTAAATCATCTCAATTAGAGTATTTCTTGGGAAGTGATTAACATCTAATGAAAGGAAAAATTAAATCAGGCAAGGCTGAAGCTCACAGCTGTGTTACATAGAAGCTATCCCACTACGCTGCTCGAAATCAAACGTCTAATCAAGAATAAGAATCAGTGCTCAGTGTGATTGATTGTAGCTCAGCCTCCTATGTTTTTTCAGTCAGTATCGCATTTTAAGATAGAAAATTGTTGTTAACAGACCCTGATATTTAACAGAGAATACCACCATACATCAAAGCTGCTTTAAGGATACAAAAGGTGTTTCATTTCATAGCTAGATGTTCATGCACCATTTACTCGCTCACACATTTCCTGTTCAAAGCGAATCAATAGCCTTTAGAGTAAAAAGACGCTAATTGATGTGATGCCTAAAACAAAGCCACAGAGCATTGTGTTGTTAGTCAGATAATTCTCACTGAATATTTTTATCGCGGCATAAATATTTCATCAAAGACATGAAAGCGGTATCAGAGAATTTCAAATTAGTGCAGAACAATAGCAGAACAAAAGCTGCAAAATGATAAGCCTTTTTATTTTTATTGCCGTGAACATGCTCAATAAGAATATGACAAATCTCAGGAGGAAAAAAGGGGAAAATGCTTAAGTTCCTTTAGGTGAAAGGACTTCTGTCATCTTCCTCACGCATGGTTTTAATTGGTTGTGTTTCAGGTAGTTCATCCTCAGTGAAAATAAAGTAACTACACCCCCTTGAGAAGCTGCGACAGCATGTGCAAAATAGAGCAAGAAAGGATTTGCGGCCGAAACAGACACCAAAAACAAATGTCTCTGCTTTCTGAAGCAGAGCTGGGAAATTATTCCACAAAAGACAGAATGAGAGAGATGGAGAGCTTGAAAGAGAAACAAACCGTTCCTGGATAATCGGATTTGTTTTGTGTGGCTGTTCCACCTGGCCTCCCAGGCTCTACCTCCCCTTCATTAAAAAAGCTTATAATTAACGCAGCACTGGCTCTAATCCTGGTCACTCTGTCTCCCCTTTTCAATTGATAGGGACGTCTCATGGGGCTGGGGGTATGCAGGTGAGCGTGTCTGAGTCTCGACTGCTAAGGGACCACAGGGGATTGTCGCCCAGAGAGAGAGCCATCAGTGTGAGCACGGGGGGTGGCGTGACGACGTCAGGATTAATTTTGAGGAGGCCTGGTTGCCGAGGCCGGCTGATAACATGGGTCAGCAGCTGCACAGACACCTGGACCCTGAAGCCACGAGTGTCTCTCCGGAAAATAACTGTTAATGTACTGAGAGCCGTGTGTATTTATTAGTGTGCGTGTGTGTGTGTATGTGTGAGTGTGGGCTGGGTAGAGGAGGAGTTGATACCTGCCTAGCCTGCAGAAGATGTCCAGAGATGGCTGAAACCTGTAAAAAGTCAATTATATTGAGGGGGAAAAAAGCAGAGGAGAGGGAACCATGGGTGAAATTAAAAGCCTGGTTCTTGTGATAAGTGGCAGCGATGTGAAGTCTTTACCAAAAAAGTGGTAATCTGGGGTTGTGTAAAAAAAATGTCAAAGTGTTCCAGCAGGATAGTAAAAGAAGAGGTGTGTGAAAGAGAGCTTGAAATGTAGTATTGTAGTTTGACACAAGGCTAGCTACTGTAGCTTTCTTTGCAAAAACCAATACAATATTAACAATTAACAAGCCTTCACTGGT